AATCAACATGGATCTGTCCTCAATCAATTAACACAAGATAATCCTCCTCAGGCATGCGCAGAGATCCATTTCTCAGGTGATTGTAGATTTTTATCAAGTTGACAACACCAACCATCACACTGGATAATGTCTCAGTCACTGTTCTATGGCTGTGAAGAGACACCATGATCAAGGCAGTTATTATAAAAGAAAGCATTAAACTGGGGATGGCTTACAGTTTCAGAGGCTCAGCCCATTAACGTCACAGCGGGGAACATGGTGCCAGCCACTAACATCTGAACTAATAACACAGGTAGCTTTAACTCTACAGCTTCAAGGAACAGGGTCCTGCTGGAGGAGGTTGTTTCTAGCTATTGAGGACAAGACTGATTCATTTTTGTGTCTGGCTAAGGCCTCAGGAATAAGAAGGCATTGTATAGAAAGTGTTCTGGGGGAAGCTGGAGCCTGGCACATTAACAGGTATTGTCAGTTCTTGCCAAGACAAGCAGGGGCCTGACCACAGGCTCTTCTTACCAACTTGACTCCTGGCTGAGGTCCCCAGACCCTCTGGTTTTAGCCAAGAGTATGTGGAGCTCACCAAGCCCAAGGGGAAGGTTCCTGGCTCAGATTCAGGGCCGGCCTGCCCCACCTTCCCCTTACAGGAACTCGATGGGGGTCGGGTGGGGAAACAATACTCGTGTTTATCAACCACAGATATGGTTCCACATGGATCCTCCAGTGGCTGCTTTATCTGAGGGTTTTAATAGCACACTGAAAACAACTTGGGTGAACATAAAATGAAGGTTCCGACAACTGTCAGATGGCCCAAGCATCTCGGTGTCTCACTGTTGGGGGTCCTGACGGTGACGGTGCTGGTGAAGGAAGGTCCTATGGTGGCAGTGCACATTTCTACTGTAGTTTATAGACTAGGATGTACAACTGTATAAAAAACATATAATGGATTTGGGTCTCGTGGCACAGGTCTGTACTTTCAGCTGCTCAGAAGGATGCTTACAGGTTCAAGACTAGCCTAGGAAACTCAGTTAACACCTTATCACAAAATAAATATGAGGGGCTAAGGATAGCATGTGCAAGGCCCTAGACTGAATTTTTTAATATGGGAGAGGAGAGAGAGAGAGAGAGAGAGAGAGAGAGAAAGAGAGAGAGAGAGAGAGAGAGAGAGAATGTAAGAGAATGCACAGGCCCTGTATTCTTCACATGCTAAGTACTAGTAGATAAGACAAAATGATCTCTTTCTTGGTGACAGAGTCCCCCTTATCTGCCCCCCCCCCACCGCAAGTTTGTGGACCACCACAGGGGTGATCTGCAGCCGACTGTACCCATTGGGAACAGAACTCTCCAGGCCCATGCATCACTGCAAGGGTCACCCAAGAGCTCCACCTTGTCGGGATTCTCTCCTCACTCTGGTTCCCCTGAGGCAGCTTTTCTCTGCTGTTCCCTCCAGCATGGCTCCTGCTGCTTTAGCTCCCACAGCAGCAGCTTCCTTCCTCATCTCCTGGTTATGTGGAGGTCACCTCTGGCGATGTCAACGGCCACAGGAGGTAGAGGAAGAGGAACTGTACTGATTAACAGACTAGAGCAGCTAAAGGGATTCTGGGGTCCTGGCCACCAGGAAGCCCTGCTGTCAAGAGCACCAGTGCAGAGTGGGAAAATGCATGGGGGGACTAGCCGAGAGCATCAGGTCAAAGGTAAGACAGCAAACTTTGGTTTGAAAGATGCTCCACCGTGTGAAAGAGTGAAGGGCCACAGCCTCCACACATACTTACAGTTCAAAACCAAATGGTGGTTTTGAAGGTGATGAATGACAGCTTGCCAAAGGACGCATTGAGAGAGGGAACAGATGGTCAGAGATGGAGAACTGAGAATAATGATAATCTGCACCTAGACAGACTCCCCCATGTGTGTGTGCGCCCAGTCCATCTGCCAGCCCATGGACCAGCACATGGACCCACAATGGTCCATCCATTCAGCTGGACATCAGGGTTCTGGAGTCCCACCACAGTCTGACGCATGGTCCCCGTAGTCTATTTATACTCCCAGCTGCCTGGCATCTTGTGAGCACCATTAGTATTTGGGAAACCCACAGGCCCCCTGAGTGGTCTTTGCTTAAGGAACCACTGCTCTGGCTTCAGTAGGGGCTGGGTGATGAGTGGCATGGAGCTCTGTCTTGTCCCCAGCCTGGTGACACTGGTAGTGGTGGTGATGGGGGTACTTCTAGATGCTCACAGTCCCTAGAAGGGTGTGGCCTTCTTAGAACACCACCAGAGAAGACTCCCATGGTGCCCATTTTTCTCCTAATGTACCAGTGAGAGATTGCTTGTCTCTGTTCCCAGGGCCCTTGAGCTGTGTGTCTTTAGAGGGTGACAGAGCAGACCCTGTATTCTCAGGCAAGGGTGGGTAAGACATGGCAATCTTTCTTTGGGACAGTGCCTCCCCATACCAAGGCTGTGATTGGCAGTTGGACTCAATGTCATGTAAGTGGCCAAGTGCTGGGTATGGATGTGTGTTAAGTTTGTCACTGTCATCTTCATCCCAAGAGAAGACCTATCACGCTCCATAGGTAATGAGGACAGAGATGAAGGTGGGTGTGTTCTACTGTCTACCCCTCTAGAGGGATCCATGCTGTACCCACTAAACAGAAGGGACCTGGGTTAGGAAGGACTAGCTGGTGGAGCATCTCAGAAGGGACTAGAATTGTAGCTACATAAACTGCTAGATTTAGTGTCCCGAAGTCTATGGCTTCTGTCACAACTGACTCAATCAGAGCAATGCACATCCCCAAGGGAAGCCAGTCTATAGGATGCCGAGTGACCCATACAACATGTGAGACCAAGTGGATCCTCTTGCCCAAGAATGGACTGCTCTGTGACATGGTGCTGTAGGAGTAGGGCAGGGACAGTGAAACTGAGGGCCACAGTGGTGGTGTCCAGAGTCCTCAAAATGTTCTTACATAATACACAAAGCAGGTCCTATTCCATTGTTATTTTGCAGATGAGAAAATAGGTACAGAGAGGTTAAGCAATTTGCTCAAGGCCTCACAGCCAGTGGAGGACAGAAAGAGGTTCCAGCTCAGTTGGTAATTACTATCCTACCTCTCTCAGGGTGGGATGAGGGTGATGGCTGCTTTAATCCCAGGCCTGTTTCCAAGTGCCCTACCTAGGGCTCCCAGGAGCAAATCTTGCCTGTTGCATGACCTTCAGGGAACCTGTCTTCTTTACAACACAAAGCACTTGGTGACAGTTTCAGAGCATCCCTGGCAGGGCACAGCAGGGACTTTCCAGGTACCTCCCTAGACCCCCAGGATCCTCAGCTCAGCCTCAAAGCTGCTCAGGCAAAGGGGAGGAAGAGTCTGCAGGTGGGGTGGGCAAACGGGAGGCTCCTTAGTGGGAAGCTTCCCAAGGCTAGGAAATATTTGCATGGTGAGGATATCTGAGTCCCAGGATAGGGTGCTTGTACAACAATGAGCGCTTTGGTACCTAAAAAAGAGATGGAGTGGTGGCAGCTGAAATTCCACTCATATTCTTTTCTACAGATTAACACTGTGTGTGGGTGGGGGGGTATGACTTAGAAAGTGACAGGTGGGTTAGAGGGTCAGAGTGAAGGAGCACAGGGTAGCCCAAGGCTTGTCCCCAGACTTAAGCCCTTATGCAGGCACAGTGGGTTTAAACAGGAAGCTGGATTTCTTGTTCTCTAACAAGGGCTTGTGAAACACAGGGTCTGTGGACTGGAATGGGGCAGGGGTGGGGTGGGAGGTTGGATGTCAAGCTTAAAGGGCAGAACATCAAAGACTCAGGTGTGTAATAAGTAATACAGCAACTGTCAGTCACTAAAGTTTGTGTGCTGCCGGAGAAAGAGCAGAGAGCTAAGGCAACTAACTGGTCCTGGGGGCTGGGCACAGTAGTGCATGCCGGTAATCCTAGCACTGGGACGCCAGAGGATCAAGAATTCAGGGTCATCTTGGCAACACCCTGATTTCAGGCCAGTGCGGGCTACATGAGATCCTGCCTTTGAAAGAACCTGGGGAGGAGGCTGGGGATGTAGCTAGGTGGTAAAAGGCCACATACCACAATTCGTTTATTATTTATTTTATGAACATTGCCTGCACATATGTCTGTGTGAGGGTGTCAGATCCCCGGAGCTGGAGTTACAGACAGGTGTGAGCTGCCATGAGGGTGCTGGGAATTGAACCCAGATCCTTTGGAAGAGCAGTCAGTGCTCTTAACCTCGGAGCCATCTCTCCAGTCCCACTCTTGCCATTCTTAAGGGACTGGTTTCAATGTGCAACACCACCACTATTGAATGGGGAAAAGAAAACCCAAAACAGTTGGGCTCCTGCAAAGCCCTTCCTCCCTAGGCTACCAATGTCATGTTATATGGGCAAGGGTAGGGATAGAGGCTGGCTGCAGTGGGAACCTGGGACAGCAGAGGGCTCTGGGGAAGTCACATAATGGCTGTCCTCGAAGTATGGGGTGGTGGAGGTAGAGGAACGAGGGGGTGTCCGTCACTCTGGGGGTGCTGGAGGCAATCGCTTGGGATCACGATAAAATGGAGCTTCCTGAGCACTTTACATCGTCCTTTGAAAAGCTGGTTAATGTTTTGTAACACACAGCTTATATTTGTATAATTCAATTCTAATTACAGGGGCATAATCACTTCAGATGCACTGCTGTGGGTTCTCAGTAGACAGGTCCACCTGGATGTGGCCCAAATCACCCCCAATCCTAGAGGTTCCCCAGTGGGCAGGACCAGCCCTTGCTTAGACCCCTCTGGCTCCTCTGAGCACTCCCAGGCACTGGCCCTGACCCCTTGTCTCATTGCTCACCTGACCAGGCTCTCCTATTGGCTCCAGACCATCTAGGAAGCTGGCCATCTTTCTTCTCCTCCTCACCCTCCTCCCCACCACCCTCCCAGGCTCCAACTCCAGCCCTTGGGGCTTCTCTGACATGACCTTCCTCTCCATTGTGCTGCATGCCAGATACAGGAACACACTGCTCAGACAGTCCTGTTTCCCCTTCAAGAGTCTTTTATTCAATTTCCCAGGTCACTGTCAGGTACTGGGCCCTGTCCCCCATGCCCAGAGAGGGAATGCTTAGAATGTATTTGGTGTCTTTCCCACTGCCAAGACTGACCATTTCTTCAAGGTATACCAACATTATCTGCTTACGCTTTACTTTTTCTAACAGAATTCCATAAAAATATAGATATCTAAGCACATATATCTATCTATACTTATATACACACATACATAGAGACCTTCAAGGATTGAATATCTTCCTGGCCTGGGGCTGTGGCCAGGAGACGCAAGCTCCCTGGGTACATGCAGAGTGCTAAGGCAGTACAGGATGAAGCCAGGCTCCAACTGTCTTCTCTGTCCAAGGAAGCTGAGGCTGGCCATGGTGAACCAGGCAGCTCTCAACCCCTTTCTACACATTTTAAAATAACAACAAAGTGAACCTGAGGGAGATTCCAACCAGAGTGCGGGGCGGACAGAAAGGGGCTGGCTTCCTAAGAGAAAGTTCCAGAAGTGAAGTGGTGGTTTTACAAGCCTTTGAGGGACATTTGCCTGGTGGTCTGGACCCTGGCAAACAGCACATGGGCACAGCAAGGGGAGGTAGGTCAGGTTCTTCCCCCCATCCACCCATGCATGGCCCTGTGGGGACCTGGGCAGGGGGCACCTCAAAGGCCAACCTGAAGCTGGGGCTTTGGGTCACCCAACAAAGCCCAGGGTGACAACTGGGCTATGTGGATGATGTGTATTGGGGTGAGTCCTATAAATTGTCACTTTGAAGTCACTCACTCTAGGGCGACCTGTACTATGGGGAATGTGTACTCAAGGTACTAGAAACGGCTAGGTTAGAACCTTGTTTTGTATTCCAAGGACTATCCTAGAGGCCATTGGCATGAGGTCCATGGAGCCTACTGGCTGGTAATGTTTCCAGGGAGATGGGAGTGGGTGAAAATAGAAGGCTTAGGGACTGTGGTTAGGAGGCCTGGCCTTACGTGATCCCCACAGGCACTTGGTGGCACAGAGAAAGCACACGTAGCTCTTAGGAAGCCTCCCCACAGAGGCAACACTGGGCATCCAACAAGGCTAATTCATTCTAACCCAGGAGGCCACTTTCCTCCATGTGTCTGGGACCTCAAGCTGTGGCTGCGCTGGGCAAGGTCCAAGAACAGATTGCAAGCTTGCACTGCTCTGAGACTGGATGGGGGAAGTGAGTCCAAGGTTCTCTAGGGTGACATCATGTCACAGCTCTGTAAAGTAACTTAGATTTAAGCCAGGTTGTCTCCCAAGGCACCAGAAAGGCCAGGAAAAGCCTGGCCCAGCCAGAGAGAGGGCAGCTGGTGGGTTCATTTCTATGGTACACCAACTCAAGATTGGTCCATATGAAACAAGGAAATGTGGTGATGGTGGGGGGCGGGTCCGGAAAGGTGAAGGTAGGGCTTGGGTCCAAACACACCTTTTCTCTAAAGGGCCCCGTGCACAGCAACACCAGTGTCAGCCCCCAGGGAGCAAGGCATTTGCTTTGGATGCAAATCTTGTCCACCCAGCTTTAGATGGGATCTCAGGCCTAGCTGGCCCCAAAGGAGGTGGGGGTGGGGGTGGGATGGAGAACTGGCATCACGGCCCGTGGAAGTGTTCACTGATCATCTATTCCCTGAGGCCCCACCCCTGAGTGCAGCTGTCCGCCCCTGCCTCCTGCCTACGCCTGCTGTGCTCACAGCTCTCTGGGGATGATGGAGAAGGGGAGCACAGGGCTGCTGGCCTCCAGCTCCAGGGCAGTGAGAAAGCAGTCGACGGCAGCCTCATTCTGGCCTTGGTCCTGCAGCACCTGTCCCAGGCCCTGCCATGCTTCATGGCAGGTGCTCTGTCTCTCCACAGCATCCCGAAGCACCTTCTGGGCCAGGCTCTTGTGGCCCAATTGACTCAGCATCAGACCCTAGAAACGAAGCACAGGGCAGGGTTAACTAGACCTGGGCAGGGAGAGCCTGGCAACCAGCGTGAGAGCCAGCAGCAGCTCTCTCCTGGCCACCAGCCAGAGAGGCCCTGGCTTAGCCACACAGACAAATGACCATGCCCTTTATTCATGCAAAAACCTATCTGTCCCCAACCAAGCCCTGCTTCAGCCCTGTAGGAACTAGGTTCCCTTTATCTTCAGGAGACAGGCCTGACTCAAGTCTAGACCTGATTTTTGAGTGGCTCCATGTGGGGGATTCTGGGCTCCCAGTTCACTCTTCAACAAATGGGGGAAAAACTTAATGGAAACTATCCCAGCATGGCTACTTAGGATGAAGACACAGCTAAAGAGAGTCAGTGGATGCTAAGTTGTCCAAGAAAAATGGCCAGGGGCACGCTGCCTGCAGCATGGAGCTGCCCCACACCCCAGGAGCATGAGGTGCATCAGCATCCTGTCTTCCTGGGGATTGCTGGATCCTGAGAACCAAGCACCCAGCAAAGCCCATGCTGGCAGGTGAGGGGCATGGGAGGGAGAGGGTCCGGGTGGACAGCTGTTGCTGAAGGATGGAAGACCCTGGATGTCCAGGCCAGAAGGTGGGAAGCCTGGCCTTGCAGTTTAGCTCAACTAAACCAAAACTAGAGGAAGTGCCAGAAATTGTCACACAGGGGGTGGGACGTGAAACCCACAGCCTTACACATCCTCCCCATCCCACACACACTGGGGACAAGGGACAGGGTGACAGGGTGACGGGTCCCCAAAAGGCTACTGTGTGCCATTCCACTGGTGTTTCTGCCAAGCTTTGAAGGCATCCCAAGATGCTGGGCCCTTTCCTGGTTCCAAAGGGTGGAGGTAAACCTCCAACTCCCACTTCCTGGTTAGGCAGGGGACCAGGGTGGGTGCTGGGAGCTGTCTCTGTGCTTGAAGTCCCCTCTCTGCAGCCCGCCCACTGACGGCCATGTACATTTTTAGCTGGATTATTTTCCTCCTCCCTAAGCTTCCCAGAGTTAGGCCTTTGGTTGCTATGGAGATGTACCAGGAAAGATGTACATGGCTGACTTCATAAACTCCTAAGAGAGCTTGGAACATGACCAATTAGGCAAGAAAGATGGTCCTCAGGAAGACTACAAGAGGCCTCCAGAGGTGCCAGCTGGAGGTCCTGGGGCCAGAGAGCAGGGAAGGAAGAACTGACTTCCAGGATGGCACGCTCCTGTGACATCCAAGGAGCCACTTAGCTCAAACAACCTCAAGCTGCAGAAGGGCTGGTGGGGGCAGGGTGTAGCCTCCAAGGGCTCCGGACCTGACCAGCCGTGCATAGCACGCTGACTCAGGGCTGTCAGAAGCAGGGGCAGTGTCTGTCTGGCCAGCAGTGCTCCAGGCCACGATGTTCCACCCACATGGCTCAGGGCAGAACCTTGAGTAGCTCACAATGGAACAGGGCCCATAGCATGGAGGGGAGGAAGGTTCTAGCGGTTGGCTGCCAGACACCAAAATGAAGTATCAAAAAACAGTGCTGACCACAGGGAGTGACAGAGGGCGAGGCGGTCAGCAGGGCCTATCAGAGGGGTTTTGCTGGCAAGAAGAGTCCCACCTCAGAGGAGTCCAAAACCCCCAGAATCTCTAGCTGAGCCTGGTACACACCTGTCATCCCAGTCACTTGGGAGGCTGAGGCAGGGGGATAATAAGTTCAAGGCCTGCCTGGGCAGCAGAGTTCTAAGCTAGCCTGGGCAATTCTGTGAAGCCATATGGAGATAGAGAGCTGGGGGTGTAGCTCAGTGGCACACCGTTTTCTAGTGTGTAGGAGGCCTTGAACTCAATCCTGGAATGACAAAGAGAGGAAAAGAAAAGGTATGGGGGTGTGGGAAGGAGCCAGATGTGTCTGCAGGCTGAGCGTGTGTCTCAAGAGAGGACAACGCGCAGGGCTCAGCAGCCAGAAGGCCTGGCTGGGTTGAATTCCAGCTCTGCCATTGACATGTACTGTGACCCCAGCAAATGGTCATCACCCTTTTACTATCTGTCAACTGGGGGATGGGACAGTTCTTCCTCACAGGGCCACTGAGAATTCTGGAAGGATGGATTTGGAGAAGGCATAGCCAGCCCATAGCCGGCCACATGGTAGGCTGCCTCTCTCGGAGGAGCGTGGGGGTGGGGAGATGGCAAGGTCCTGTTGGGAGGGGCCGTGCAGTGGATCTGGCTCATGTACCCCTGTTCCCACACGCTGACCTTAGACCCTGAAAGAAGACACCAGGCCAGGCTGGGGTCAGGCTAAGGCCTGGAGGCCCAGGGCCTGTAACGGGATCTGTGGCCACCTGCCCCTGACACCAGCAGCATTTGTGTTTGGTAGCAACTTGGTGCTGTTTGCTGCCTGACAACTGGGTGGGACCCAACCACAGGAAGACTCGAGGCCTCACCTGCTGTCCCGAGCCTGGCGCTGCCCCACAGTGAGGTCCCTCAGCACCCTCCCGGCACCTCACTGGCGGCGAGAACAGGTTTCCAAGGAGATGGTGGGAACACAATTCCATCCACATGTCCCTACTGAGTCCCGTCTCCCTCCCTGTCTTGTCCCTCATCTGCTGAGAGGTATCTGGCTCTGAGAAGAGGCCGTTAGCTTCTGATCCTTCACTGTGGTGTCACAACCAGGCTACTGACAAGTTATCTGTGACCACAGAACACTACAGCTGCAAGGCACACTTAGGCTAGACGCACTTGTCCTACTGAGGAGGGACAGGCCTATGTTCAAAGTCTCCAGAAATCCCTCTCAAGGGCTGGCACCTGCCCACATTCACGTTTCAGGGCTCTGCTCTCCCAGGAAGCCTTTCCTGAGGACAGCAAGTCTCAGGAGACACCGCCTCCCTATCACATTAGGTTACTGTGGAGCTCCTCTGTGCTGTGTTGCTGTCCCTGGCCTGTACTACAGGACAAGAGGGACAACGAATGAATGCCATTTTCCTGCCAGCCTTTCTACTCTAAGCTGGGCAGCAAGTGGCTCAATAGAAGCCAGGTGGGAGGGGCCTGGACACAGAGCCAAGGACACCTGGCTCTGCCTTCAGGGCTTTCTGGGCCAGGAGGGACCCATGTCTTGCTGAGGTCTGCCCAAGTCAGTCTGGAGACAGTCTGAGGGATAAGTGGGCATTTCCCGGTTAGGAGCCAGGTTTTCTGTTGAGCTGTCGATTAGAATTGAGGCTACAGTTTGGAATAGAGAGGGTCTTGCTAATCTTTTCCTATGCTCTGCCACTTAACACTATGTCTCCCCATTGACCCAGGGCCCTGGGATGTCTCCTAGATCACAGACACAGCAGAAAGACCAGCAGGGTCGAGCACAACTTTATCATCTTTTGGGGAGCCTACCCTGGGAAGCAGGACTTAGCTGTGGGCCAAGCCGAGTGTTCCTCCCCACCCCTGCCCTTAAGTATTTATAGAAGCTATTTTGGGAATTTTCTTTCTGAGCTCCAGGCACATTCCTGGGATTCTGTAACAGCCTTTCCATCTGGGAAGCTGGGAATCAGCTGGGAGGCTGCAGGAGACGGCAGGCACGTCCCCTGAGGCCCTGTGTGAAGATGCTACAGTAGGCTCGTGCATGCGCGAAGGGCCACTGCGCTGGAAGGCTCCCCTTCAGGTGCCCTGGGGAGGCTGCAAGCTTCAAGGCCAGTGCTGGCTCCAGGTCTGATCAGGTATGTCACCTTCAACCTGTCCAACCAGACTGGGGACACCCTGAAGTCCCGAATCCCTTCCAGAACGTGGCCACTAGAGTCATGGACCAGTTGTACTTCCCTGTTGGAAGCAAAGGACAGGACTCTTTCCAGACCCGCCTAGTGGCCAGTTGATGTACTAAGCCTAGGTCTTTTGAAGAGGCATTTGCTCAGAAGGTGCCCAGATCCCCTGGGAGCCCAGCTTAGGAGGGTCTTCTGGAATTGTCAAATCCATGCCCATTCCGTTCTCTTCATGGGTCTCTGGGAGTACAGTGTAATGGTCTAGAGACCCAGCTGGCTTCTCTGACCGGCTGGGGCCATCTGTCTTCAAAGGGGGCTCTGGGCTAAGAGGCCAAAAACACTGGACTGTCTTGAAGCAGGATACATCTTGTGACTTGGAAGCCTTTGCCAGGCCCACCTATGGCCAAGGCTGGCCTTGACTCATCCTCTTAAGTCCTCGGGGGTAAAACAGGAGGCTGCACTTTAGTGGAGTGACAATAGGCATATAAGGACAGGGTGGCTTATTAGACACGGGGGTTCACTAAGGGGTTGCACCCTGTGGCAGCCTCCAGACACTCTTTCCCTTTCCTTTGTTGATAAAATGGATTCTGGAGCGAAATCAAGTCAACTATGCCCAACTGTCATCACAATCTGAACCTGTGCCCAGCCAGGTAAGCCTGGCAGGGTGGGGGAGGGAGAAGATTCTACACCATGGCCTGTCTGATGCTGGGGTGGTAGCACCTTGAACTACCACCTAGGGAGTGCCCAGAGCTCTTTTCCTCCTCCATTTCTGTTTGTCACAAGGAGCATGCCTCCAGGGAGAAGTGGAGAGGAACTCCCAATGAAATCACCTCATCTGGGGGCCAAATGGCCCAGATGGTACCACTGAATGAACCTGCCTGCCTGCCAGACAAAAGCTTGAATCAATGGCTCCCCCAGGTGCAGCCCCCACAGTCCTCCCAACTCCCATTCTCCACAAAGGACAATTATATCTGATCTTCCCACTCCCCTAGTTGCCCTCACTACAGCTCAGCTCAGGGCCAGCTTTGGTCTCCGAGACCCAGGGCACATATGGGTCTGGCTGCTTTGTGTGACATCCATCACTCTGTCTGACATTAGAGAACCTTCACAAACGGCACGGCACCAAGTTTTACTTCTCAGCCTCTCAGGACACTCTTCTTGTGTAATGTCAGCAAACAGATGGTGAACCAGCCTGGCAGGGTGACAGCCCAGAGCGCAGGGCCAGTAGAGCCAGCAGAGAGCCTGGCCAAAGCCTGTCACCACAGCACCTCTTCA